AAGAAACTATTAGAGCTAATAAATGAATTCAGCAAAGTGGCAGGATATAAAATCAACACGCATAAATCAAAGGCATTCCTGTATATCAGCGACAAATCCTCTGAAATGGAAATGAGGACAACCACTCCATTCACAATATCTTCAAAAAAAATAAAATACTTGGGAATCAACCTAACAAAAGAGGTGAAAGACTTATACAATGAAAACTACAGAACCCTAAAGAGAGAAATAGAAGAAGATCTTAGAAGATGGAAAAATATAACCTGTTCATGGATAGGCAGAACTAACATCATCAAAATAGCGATATTACCAAAAGTTCTCTATAGGTTTAATGCAATGCCAATCAAAATCCCAACGGCATTTCTTGTAGAAATAGAGAAAGCAATCATGAAATTCATATGGAAAAATAAAAGACCCAGAATAGCAAAACAATGCTAAGCAGGAAGTGTGAATCAGGCGGTATAGCGATACCAGACTTCAAACTATACTACAGAGCAATAGTAACAAAAACAGCATGGTACTGGTACCAAAACAGGCGGGTGGACCAGTGGTACAGAATAGAGGACACAGAAACCAATCCACAAAACTACAACTATCTTATATTTGATAAAGGGGCTAAAAGCATGCAATGGAGGAAGGATAGCATCTTCAACAAATGGTGCTGGGAAAACTGGAAATCCATATGCAACAAAATGAAACTGAATCCCTTTCTCTCGCCATGCACAAAAGTGAATTCAAAATGGATCAAGGAGCTTGATATCAAATCAGAGACACGCCGTCTGATAGAAGAAAAAGTTGGCTACGATCTACATTCGGTGGGGTCAGGCTCCAAATTCCTCAATAGGACACCCATAGCACAAAAGTTAATAACTAGAATCAACAAATGGGACTTACTCAAACTAAAAAGTTTTTTCTCAGCAAAAGAAACAATAAGAGAGGTAAATAGGGAGCCTACACCCTGGGAACAAATCTTTACTCCTCACACTTCAGATAGAGCCCTAATATCCAGAGTATACAAAGAACTCAAAAAATTAGACAATAAGAGAACAAACAACCCAATCAACAAATGGGCCAAGGACCTGAACAGACACTTCTCAGAGGAGGACATACAGTCAATCAACAAGTACATGAAAAAATGCTCACCATCTCTAGCTGTCAGAGAAATGCAAATCAAAACCACCCTAAGATACCATCTCACTCCAGTAAGATTGGCAGCCATTATGAAGTCAAACAACAACAAGTGCTGGCGAGGATGTGGGGAAAAGGGTACACTTGTACATTGCTGGTGGGACTGCAGATTGGTGCAGCCAATTTGGAAAGCAGTATGGAGATTTCTTGGAAAGCTGGGAATGGAGCCACCATTTGACCCAGCTATTCCCCTTCTTGGTCTATTCCCTAAAGACCTAAAAAGAGCATGCTACAGGGACACTGCTACATCGATGTTCATAGCAGCACAATTCACAATAGCAAGACTGTGGAACCAACCTAGATGCCCTTCAATAGATGAATGGATAAAAAAATGTGGCATTTATACACAATGGAGTATTACTCTGCATTAAAAAATGACAAAATCATAGAATTTGCAGGGAAATGGATGGCATTAGAGCAGATTATGCTAAGTGAAGCTAGCCAATCCCTAAAAAACAAATGCCAAATGTCTTCTTTGATATAAGGAGAGTAACTAAGATCAGAGTAGGGACGAAGAGCAGGAGAAGAAGATTAACATTTAACAGGTTTGAGAGGTGGGAGGGAAAGGGAGAGAGAAGGGAAATTGCATGGAAATGGAAGGAGACCCTCAGGGTTATACAGTGGAGGGGGTAGAGAGAGAGGAGGGGAGGGGAGGGGAGAGGTGGGGAGGGGGGAGGGGGGAGGATGGGAAAGGCAGCGGAGCACAACAGACACTAGTATGGCAATATGTAAATCAATGGATGTGTAACTGATGTGATTCTGCAATCTGTGTATGGGGTGAAGGTGGGAGTTCATAACCCACTTGAATCAAAGTGTGGAATATGATATGTCAAGAAATTTGTAATGTTTTGAACAACCAACAATAAAAAATTTAAAAAAAACAATAGAAATATTTTAACATGTTAACAAACATAAATGCATTGATCTGCTGGCATAATATCAAATATTAAACAGGGGTTGGTAACATGGAAAAAAAAAAAGATGTTAACTAGATGAATCACCTGTCCCTTCCTACATACAACACTAAATGTAGATCATGGTAACAAACAGATATCTGAGCTGCCAAATCTTTCAGAGTTTTAGAAGATAGAATCTTCTATATATAGCTATAATTGCCTTTAGTTAAGAGTTGTAGCCTATGGTGGATGCTGTAGAGCCTAATTGTCAAAATTCATAACCTTTCCAGTAGGGGTCTCTAGGGAGATCTTGGAGTGAACTTGCTGGGCAATGTATATTTCGTAGACAACACAGGACAACATTTATTTGTTAATCAATATTTATTGAGAACTTTCTGTAGGCCAGGTACTATTCTTGGAGTTTGAGATTTATCAATGAACAAAATAGACACAATTCCCTTTCCGAAAAACATAATAAATAAGTAAGTTAAATGGGGGTAGAAAAGAAAAATAGGGATGCTATCATAGTAACATCATCACTGTGGTAGTGTTTTATGACCAGGATTTGCTTCCTAGGGATCTACAGATATCCTTTTCATATGGAATGACATGAATGAACCCTCAGTCTTTAGAGGGCCTGAGCTAACATTGCAAAAGAATGCCATTCATCATGGCAACTGGGAGCACAGAGAACTTCACAACATCTATGGTTTTTATCAGGTAAGAAAGATATCCAAAATTAATTCAACTAGATTTATGTGCCCTACCTGAAATTCATTTGTTTTTTAATAGCCATACTATGCTGTTCATATCTCTTAGTGTGTCTTTTCTGACAAGTGCAGTGAGTCTTAGGTTATAGCCAATACAGGACTTTTTATTATTTCTCCTTTTGCTTCTTTTCCTTCTAAATCAACTTAATGAATTTTAAAATATTATGAGATTAATGATAAGATGGAAACATCTGCTTTGAAATGAGCCATTAGTATATAGCACTTTTACTGACACAAGCATTGTATAAATCTGTTAACAAAGGCTAAAGTTAAAATTAAAGTTTTAATTGTCAAGTATAACTAATTAAAATTTTTTTTTTAATTTTTTTAAATTTTGAAAATCTCACAAATATCCAAATACAGCAACCCTGACATTCTATATCAGGGGAGCATAATTTAGACACAGACACATAATTTCAATAAGTATGCTTTTTTTAAATTTAGAAGCCTTTCCTTAAGTATTTTTAAAATTTTTTTATTAGTTATTGATGGACCTTTATTTATTTGTTTATATGTGTTGCTGAGACTCAAACCCAGTGCCTTCTCATTACAGGTGGTAAAATTGGCCATGTATTGTGGCACATGCCCGTATTCCTAGCAGCTGGATAGCCTGAGGCAGAAGGATCTAAAGTTCAAAGCCAGTCTCAGTAACTTAGGCCCTAAGCAACTTAGTAAGACCCTATCTCAAAATAAAAAATAAAAAGGGCTGGGGATATGGCTTGGTGGTTAAACACCCCTGAATTCAATCCCTGGGACCAAAAAAATTTTTTAAAAAGGTAAAATTGTCTTTTATTTGCCAGTCACATCCAAAAGCTTGACAATCATGTGCTCTAATTTATATCTGTGGTTCTTTGTTATTTTCAGAATGTGACTATGTTCCCATTGCCTATTGGTATTTTCCAATGGGAGCTGCTGGCTAGAGATAGCACAGATTTCAGGTAGTATCTGTTTACTTCTCTAACAGCCTGTTGCTATTACTGCCAACTACCTTAGAGAATTTTCTTATGTAGGCCAGGACCAGTCACTTAACTTTGCTGAATCTGTTTTTTTCCCCCACCACTGGAAACTGTTTCAGAAATTGTTTGGTAGATTATGTGAGAAAATATTACAAAATACCAATTAATAGTAAGCATCAAATAAATGCTAGTTTATTTATTCATTGTTATTATTAATCGAAGAAAGTTCTTTTTTAATATTTATTTTTTAGAAGTAGTTGGACATAATACCTTTATTTTGTTTATTTATTTTTATGTGGTGCTGAGGATCGAACCCAAGGCCTCACATGTGCTAGACGAGCACTCTACCACTGAGCCACAATCCCAGCCCCAAGTTTTCCATTCTTTGAGTAAAGGAAGATATATCATGAAAACAATTTGGTTGGATTTATTTTAATATTTAACATTTCACATTTCCACCTACTATTTACCTTTTTCACATTAGTTTATTAAGGATATTAACATAATGCCCTAATCCTATCTTCTCTGAATTTTTTCTGTTGACTTTCATAGCAAATGGCTACTGCAGAGGGACTGATACAGCGATCTAAAGGGAAGGAGAGACCCTTTGTTCTTTCACGTTCTTTCTTCGCTGGGTCACAAAAGTATGGTAAGGAATGGCTTGTGTTAGACTGAAAAATACAAATTAATCACCTGTCCTTTTTGACTGTTTCTGGCATGTGCTGCCTCTGTGTTCCTTTTCAATAGCTGTTGCTCAGACCTTTGATTGTACAGAGTGATCTACTCTGAAGTATGCATTTTATACTATAAAATAGAGTAAGCCAATTTTAATCAAGTTTAACACTTGTTTCCAACTGAAAAAAATGGCCACTTATTGATAGGAGACTGACTTTACCATATTTAGTTTGTTGACATGGTGATCCTCAATCCTGTCTCTTTGATTTATTGAAACCAGGAAATATGCTTCTAACATATTCATTCAATCACCTGTTCTGTTCCACTTAGCAATATGACTTAAAATAGACTTGGCTGTTGCTTGTGGTCAAGGTCATCTATAACTGGATCTGGTTTACTAGCTAATGCAGATCTAATTTAACTTAACCACCCTGGCATAGGAAGGCTATTTTAAGACCCTTTTTCTTGCATAAACAACTGAAAACTTAGGTCCTAATTTCAAAAACCCAACTCTTACTGTATTGCAGACATTATTAGTTCTCCCACTAGACCCCTGAAAACCAACCTCAGTGGTACTCAACCAAAGACCAAGATATTATCATCTCAGGCAGAGATTCACGTATAGAGATGATCACCACAGCACTATTCTCTATTGTTACATAGAGTTTTTTGTTTGTTTCAAGAATAGTTATAAAAGTAAGTTGTGTCCATGTGGCAGACTATCATGAGGCTATTTAAAATGGTAGCTTTAACTGCATAAGAAAATGTTTGTGACATCATGTTAAAGGAAAAATAGAAAAGAATGCCTAAATATTTCCATATTATCCCAATTTTATAAAATATAAGATAGTAATTTAATCTATAAGTTGGTAGATAGTCAGATAAGATACAAGAAAATTTAGTACCTTAGGTGATTGGAGTGATTTTAATTTTCTTCTTTATCCTTATTTTCCAAATTCTCTGCAAGTATCACTTTTCATCAATAAAAATGTGTATTTAATGAAAAAATTTATAAACACCAGTTTAAAAAAATAAGAGGAAACATAAATACCAAATTTTCTTTTTTTAAATATTTATTTTTTAGTTTTAGGTGGACATATATTTTTATTTTACATTTTATGTGGTGCTAAGGATCGAACCCAGTAACTCAAACATGGTAGGCGAGCATTCTACCACTGAGCCACAATCCCAGCCCCTAAATTTTCTTTGATCTTGTAAATGTTGACCCACTTTCTAGTCTGAGGCAGGAGGATCTCTTGAGCCCAGAGTTCAAGGCCAGCCTGGGCAACATAGCAAGACCCCAACTTAATCAACTTTGCCCCAGTATGTAGCAGGGCTTTACAGGAAATATATTTTGTTCAGTCAAATGCTGAAATCAATAGCCAGGAAGAAGTTCTGTCTAAACAACCATATGAGCCATGAGAATATTTGCATGTTTATTATGATGAGCTTTTTTGACAAAATTTCAAAATCATTATGTAAATATATACATATTTTACTTGAAATTAAGGAAAACTTATTAAATACTATTTACAAAGGGCAATCCCTTGAAAATATTTTTCATTGTTGACTGAAGGAAAATTCAAAATTTGTATGAGAAATAAAATCAAAAATATCTGTTAGAACTATTTTTGGTAGAAGATAGACAAAAATGCTTCAGTAGTAATGTAGATGTAGTAAAATAAGATTTTTTTCCTTTTATGAATCTCTTTAGTAGTATGTAATCTGTCTTTAGAAACTCTTACAACTGTGCAATGATAAAGAACACTGGCTTTGGAGTTGGACTGCCTGGACTCAAATCCTGCCTTAAATCTAATTAATGACTATGTGACTATGGGTAGATTAGGAATCCACTGTTTGTCATAGTTCCTTCATTTGTAAAATGGAGTTAATAATATTATTTCCCTGATATGGTTTTGGGGATGATTAAGTGGGATGATAATCCATGCAAAGTATAAAGTTGCCGTATTTTTCAATTAATGTTTCTAAAACAACTAGATATATATGGGTTACAACTGTAACCACAACCCTTACAGTTGTAAATAATTTTTACAACTCAATAATAAGACAGACAACATATTTTAAAAATTAGGAACGAGACCAGGTACACTCATGCACACCTGTTGTGTCAGCTATTTGGGAGCCTGGGACAGGAGGATCTCTTGAGCCCAGGAGTTCAAGGCCAGCCTGGGCAACATAGTAAGACCCCATCTCAATGACAAAAACAAAACAGAAGAACAAAAGATGTGAGGAATAGATACTTTACAGAAGAAGACATAGAATGATCAGTAAACACATGAAGAAATAATCAGTTATTAGGGACATATAAATTAAAACAAAAGAGGGAGATCAGTAAAGTAGAGGATGGGGTAGGTGAGAGAAAGGAGAAATAGAGAAACACTGGGGAATGATTAGCCAATTATATTTTTTTACTGTGTGCATGTAAGAATATATAACAACATCCCATAATTATGTACAACTATAATGTGCCAATAAAAAATGGAAAATATAAAAAAATAAATAAAATAAAATAGAACAAAAGAAAGATACCACTATATGTTCCTTAGAGTGCCTAGAATTAAAAATACTGGTACTCTCATATATTGCTATGAGAATCTAAAGTGGTACAACCCTTCCTAAAAGGCTTGGAATTATCTTGAAGTGTTTAACATATGCTGAACATAAGACCCAACAATTTTATCCCCAGGTATTTATCCAGAGATAAATAAAAACATATCACACAGAGATTTACACAAAGATATTTATGGTATCTTTATTTATAATAGCTCAAATCTGGAAAGAATCTATATATTCATCAATAGATAAATAGATAAATAACTTGTGATATGTTCCATATCATGGAATGCTACCCAGAAAATAAAAAAATAGTAAACTACGTTATGCTGAGTAAAAAAAAAATGTTAAAATATAATATGGTATATATTATGTTTCCATTGTATGAAAATTCCAGAAAAGACTAATCTATAACCATAGAAATCACATGAGTAAGTTGCCTAAAGTGGGTATTTGTTGACTGCTAAGAAACCCATGGGAACTTCACTAGTTATGGAAATGTTCTATGCCTTGCTTATGGTGGTGGTTACAAGCATTAAACTCTTCACTTAAAACAGATACATTTATTGTATGTAAATGACATCTCAATAAAATTTATTTTTAAAAATATTCCTCCTATAATCATATTTGAATTATACTTCACGGAAACTAGTGCAAAATGTGGGGAAAGGGGGATTGGATATCATAAAGATAAAGGAAAGAACAATGGGATAAAAGGAGATGGGGGGGTGAAGGATGAGAAAGGGAAGGAAATAGGAATGAATTTTAACAAAATCACACTATGTGCATGTGTAAATATACCACAGTGCATTCTATCTTTCTTTATATACTATGTATAAAGCACCAATGAAAAATAAACAAACAAGCAAAAGGGAAATTAGTAGAGTAGAGGAAGGAATCTAGGGGAGGGAGTTTGAGAAAGGGGAGCTTCCAGGACTTAGAGTAAATCAAAATCTGTGCATGTATGATTTTGTCAAAATGAACCCAACTATTATGTATAACTGTAATGCTCTCATAAAAAGAATTATAAGACTGGGGATATACCTCAGTTGGTAGAGTGCTTGCCTTGCATGCACAAGGCCCTGGGTTCTAATTCCCAGTACCACAAAAAAAAAAAATTCAAAACTATGCATAATTTCAGAATACTTTCATAGAATGTTTTATGGATTTTAATAAATTTTTATATTAGAAAATTAATACATTTTCCTGTATAAACCAATTGTTTACTTTTAGGTAAGAAATCTATTTTCCTTTTTAGTAGCTTGTCTTAAAAATCAAGGCTCTAAGCCAGGCATGGTGTCACACACCTATAATTCCCAAGACTTGGGAAGCTAAGGCAGGAGGGTCACAAGTTCAAGGTTAGCCTCAACAATTTAGTGAGGCTAAAGCAACTTAGTGAAACCCTGTCTCAAAATAAAACTAAAAAGGGCTGGGGATGTGACTCAGTGATTAAGCATTAACATATGGGTTCAATCCCTGGTACCAAATAAATACATAAGTAAATAATCAGGACTCTAAATATGAAATTAAGAACATGAACTGACTCGTGATTTTTTTTTTTAATACTTTCTTACTGGTGATCAAAGGTGCAGTGTGGACTGGTGACAACACAGCAGAATGGAGTTACCTGAAAATTTCTATCCCCATGTTACTAACTCTCAGCATTACTGGGATCTCTTTTTGTGGAGGTAAGATGAGTTCTGTCTTGGAGCTTAAAGTGAGAGATAATGAAAAATGAGATGTTTCTTCAAAGCTGGTCATAAAACCCTTCTCCTTAGCTATTTTGGGCTGGGATAAATATGGGAAAGAGAAAACAGGAGAAAGTGAAGGGGAGCAGATTAGAGAGAAAAGTGAAAGCAGGATGCTTCAGAACTTCTTGTATATTGTCCAAATTTAAGACAGAGAATCAATTTCTCAGAAGGAGAAAAGGGAAGCACCAAAGAGTACTTCTTTTCCTCATTCTTTCATCACTTCCTTTTTAGATGCAGCATGTGAAAAAAGTATGGGGTGGGGCCATAGCTCAGTAGCAGAGCTCTTGCCTAGCATGTGTGAGGCACTGGGTTCGATCCTTAGCATCACATAAAAATAAATAAAATAAAGGTATTTTGCCCATCTACAATTACCAAAAAAAAAAATTAAGTGAAAAAAATAGAGAGAATTACAAAGAATTTAGTGAATCAGAAGTTAGTGTGGGGGCTGGGGTTGTAGCTCAGTGGTAGAGCACTTGCCTAGCACATGTGAGGCACTGGGTTCAATCCCCAGCACCACATTAAAAAACTAAATAAACAAAATAAAGGTATTGTGTCCATCTACAACTAAAAATATTTTTTTTTAAAAATAGTGTGGGGCAGAGATATATCAGTGGTACAGTTCTCACCTAACATGTGCAAGACTCTAGGTACAATTTTTCAGTACTGCTAAAAAATAACAATAATAAGAAGGAGGAAATAGAGAAATACATTCTTAGCAGATTTTAAATTCCATGACATATTTTAACTGTGTTTTTTAAAAAGATATGCTCTTGAGAAAGATAAATTTAATTAAAATAAGTGTGTCTGATAGTGTACCTTCCTTGCATCCTGAGAATTCTCTGTGGATAAGGTTAAAAGTTGCTCAATGTGACTGCAGTTCCAGTTTTTCCTTGTTTTCTGCAGAAATAGAAACAAGTTAATATTACATTTTTATATTGATAGTTTTTGGTATTGGTCCACATATAGTACAAGAAATACATATCCTACTCTAGGACTCAGCATGAAATTCTACCCAAACTTTTTTTTTTATATATACTGGGGATTGAACTCTGGGGTACTCAACCACTGAGCCACATCCCCAGCTCTATTTTGTATTTTATTTAGAGGCAGGGTCTCACTGAGTTGCTTAGCGCCTAGCTTTTGCTGAGGCTGGCTTTGAACTCGCAGTCCTCCTGCCTCAGCCTCCTAAGCCACTGGGATTTCAGGCGTATGCCATCACACCCAGCTTTAAACTTCTAATTCTGATTATTTACTTCTCTTTAGTTCTTTATTTTTTATCTTGGTTTTCCTGTTGCTTCCAAAGGAAATTGGTTACCAGCTCCTTCCTTCCATTACACACACATAACAATAAATCAAGTCAACATTTTATGATTTCTAGGTAATATGAGTTCAGGAACATATAGGAGTATTGATTTTGGAATAATCTTCTGGTCTTTTAACAAGAAGACAGTGTTCAAAGAGTGTTTTGTCAGATCTCCAGAGAGGTCGTTTTATATAATGTGCTCCCCTTTTTGAGGTCATAGTTTTGAATGCACATATGTTTCCTTTTTCTGGACAGTCATCAAGACCTTATCTTACCCTGTACATCATTTATTTGAAGTCTGGTTGCCTTACTTGGCCTTTCTTTCCTAACCAGCTGATGTGGGTGGCTTCATTGGGAATCCAGATGCAGAACTGCTGGTGCGTTGGTACCAGGCGGGAGCCTACCAACCCTTCTTCCGTGGCCATGCTAACATGAACACCAAGCGGCGGGAACCCTGGCTTTTTGGGGAGGAATACACCAAACTTATCCGAGAAGCCATCAGAGAACGCTACACCCTCCTACCCTATTTGTATTCTCTGTTCTACCATGCACATGTGGCTTCTGAACCTGTCATGAGGTAAAAATGCATCATCCATTCAGGGACTGCAACAGCCTAATTCTCTCACAGTGATTAGGGACTGGACTAATTGTGCAGTGATTTTAAAAGAAAAAGTGAAGAAAAGCCTCACGTTTAATCAAGTTCCAGTGAGCTTCTTGACTACCAATTATGCACGTGATTCTGGCTGTCGAAGACAGATTAAAAAAAACTAGACCCCCTACTACTGTGATTAAATGTACATGCTAGGTGAGAGGCAAAAATAGAGATATCTCAAAGAATAAAGAAGTGACTGAAAGAATCCATTATTTGACAGTAGCATCTTTTCAGAAAGAATAACTTACATGCCAGCCTTAGGCTTTCCTTTATCTTACTCTTAGGACTAAACTGTTCCAAGTTTGAGGTGAGCATTTGTTTATAAATTTTAACTCTATTTTGAAGGCAAAATATTAAGAAAAAACTTTCTAGATTAGGGAATGATACATACCAGCATACACAATTCACCAAGACTTCAGGATCAGAAGTTCCTAAATTTAGATGAAATCAGTATCACCTGGGGAGCTTTCCACTATAGATTTTAAAAGCTATACCTCCAAAATTTTCTAGGAATCTCTTTGGGTAGGTTTCTATATTTGTTAGAAGTTTCCCTTTTAGGTTCTAGATATCACCCAGGTATACTGTTGTTTTGTTCTGTAGGAAAGAAATATGTTATTACAAAGGCTGGTGAATAAACTAAAAATAAATTTTGCTTATTAGAAGATATTCTTTCCTCATGTAATTGAAAAATGACTAGAACCATTAAGTTGATATCCAGGTAGATATATACTGACAGTTTTATTGTTTATGAACCCAAATACATCCTAGTTACACAAAAAAATAACAAGCAAAAAAGAATACTCAAAATTTCTTAACCCCACACCCAAAAAAATAATGCCAGCTTGAAAACAAGAAACATCAGTTCTTCTCAAAGATATAGTGATTAAGTGATGCATGAAAGCAGCAAACACAAAAATAAAACAGCACAGAGGGGCTGGGTTGTGGCTCAGCGGTAAAGCACTTGTCTTACATGTGTGAGGCACTGAGTTCCATCGTCAGCACCAAATAAAATAAATAAACAAAGGTATTGTGTTCATCTGCAACTAAAAAAATGTTTTTTAAAAAAGCACAGAATTATCATCATTGTAAAATCATATCCAAAGATGTTAGGCATTTGGACTTGCATAAAGCTCTGACTCTGCCCATTAGAGTAGTGTTTAGTGCTCAACAATCAGAAGGAAAAGTGGCAGGTACTAGAATTCTCAATATTTCTTTAGAACATTTTTACATAATAAAAATGTAAAGTAATCACAGCAATTGCTCATAAAAACTTGAGATGTATGAAAAAGAATCTTGATACTTTAGTGCTTTCCAGTTTCCTTTGAATAGTTTTTAAACTAAAAATATAAAATTCTTAAAAAACATATAATTACATTAAAATGTAACGAACGTTCTTTTCACTTTCCCAGGCCTCTGTGGATAGAATTCCCAGATGAATTAGAGACTTTTGGTGTGGAAGATGAATACATGCTGGGTGAGCATTTATTAATTACAAACACTATAATTATGTTTCTATTAAATTTTCTACTATGAGAGCACTTTTTAAAATCCTAATCCCAATGAAACTAAAAAAATTAAAATAAATTCCTTCATCAAGATTTTTAATGCATTAGTGGGATTGCAGATCTATTCTGTTGTAATTCTAGCACTCACAGTATTATTCTTACCAACATCAAATAAATCCATTCTATTTGTAGGTGTAGTTTAAACTTTTGTTTTGTGTTCACTCTTCTAAGCCTATTGAGACCACTACAGGGAAGGAAGTAGGCAAAAAGTAAATCATACAGATATAGTAAAGAACCAGAAGAGTTTATTTCATATACAGTAATAGGCCTCTTTATCAAGGATTAACCATCAATTCTAGAACATGGAAGTTTATTATCTTAGAGACAAAGCTCAAAAAGCCAGTCTAAACATTGAGTTGCCCAAAAGGTAACCACATGCCAAACAATGGAAACCTCCAGTGTTAAATAATAGAATCATTGGGCTGGGGCTGGGGCTCAGTGGTAGAGGGCTTACCTGGCATGTGCGAGGCACTGGGTTCGATTCTCAGCACCACACATAAACAAAATAAAGGTCCATTAACAACTAAAAAAAAATATTTAAAAAAATAGAGTCCTTGGTCTGGGAATGTAGCTCAGTGGCAGAGCACTCAGATGGCATGTTCAAATTCCTAGGTTCAATCCCTTAACATTAGGTCTCAATAATCACTGCCTTGGAGAAACCTCCCTGACCACTCCTTGCCTTCTTATACCTTAGACTGTTCTCCTCCATCAAAGTCAATCTGTCGCATTAAAAAAAAAACTTCTGCTTTGTACTTTTGTTTTTTTTTTTTTGGTATTTGTCTTAACTGTATCTTTCAATTACTTTTTAATATCTGTCTTCATTTACTATAAGCTCCATGAAAGCAGGGATCATGCTTGTTTTATCTGCCACTCTATCCCCAGAGCCTATCAACATGCCTGGCAATCAGTATTTATTGAATAAAAGAATTTACAAATGATGAATTTTTACCTGCATGGTGGCAAGATCAAAGAAAATTTAATAATTCTTGCCATCTACAGCCTTCCCAATGATAACTGCCCAAGCAAAAGAACCTGAGTAGCCACAGTGACACAATTCTGGATAACAGTTGTGGACTCACTATCATCAGCATCACTCAAAGAAAACAGTAAAGCCATGGAGAGATGCAGTGGTGCTTTCAGATTATTGGTGCACCAGAAGTTAAGCACAAAATGATACTGTAGTAAATTGTGTCAGGGTTCCTTCCTATAATCCTGATATTCCATATATGGATTAATGATGGGTAATAACAGTCACCTATTTGAGCCCCTGTCCTCTTTCTAACAATGCATCTCTCTGATGAATCATTGGTTTAACTCACCACAGTCTCTGCCTTACAGAAGTTTACAGTCTAGTAGTTTTTTGCCAGGCATTGTGGCCCATAACCTGTAATCCCAGCTACTCAGGAGGCTGAGACAGGAGATTTGCAAGTTGTAGGCCAGCCTCAGAAATTTAGCCAAGCCCTAAGCAATTTAGCAAGACCTGTCTCAAAAGAAAAAAAAAATGAAAAGGGCTGGAGATGTAGGTCAGTGGTGAAGAACCCCTGTTTTCAAGCCCCATACCAAAACAAAACAAAATAAAAACCACAATACTGTTCAATTAAAGGAAAAGAATTCTCGTAATGACACTAAATTTTATTTCTTCTCCATTCTTAAGGAAGTGCTTTATTGGTTCATCCAGTCACAGAACCAAAAACCACCATGGTTGATGTATTTCTGCCAAGATCAAATGAGGTAAGACTAATAACAATTAGTCACATATCTCAAGTCTCATCTCTCTCATCCCTTTGTTTCTTTAAGCAACTAAATTTCTCCATAATGCTTTGGTGAACACACACCAAATGACTGTAATAACTGATGATTTTTTTTTAGTTGTTGATGGACTTTATTGTCTTTATTTTTATGTGGTGCTGAGAATCGAACCCAGTGCCTCACACATGCTAGGCGAGCACACTACCACTGAGCCACAACCCCAGCCATAACTGATGATTTTTAAAAATCATGACACTGTCCACTTAGGCTAAGAAATTAATGGAGGCCAGGTGATAGAAAAATGAATAGGTGATGGCCCCAAGAAGGATCAGAATTCATCTTCACACTGACTTGCTTAAGTGAGTTCTTAAACACACTGAGGGTAGGGTAAGAAAAAAATCTTTTGTCTACTATGAGGTATCAGACTCTGGTGGGAAACTTAAGTATAAAGAAACTTTGCTCTTTATGCCAGGCACGGTGGCGCACGCCTGTAATCCCAGTGGCTCGGGAGGCTGAGACAGGAGGATTGCAAGTTCAAAGCGAGCCTCAGCAATGGCGAGGTGCTAAGCAACTCAGTGAAACCCTGTCACTAAATAAAATACAAAATAGAACTTGGAATATGGCTCAGTGGTCGAGTGCCCCTGAGTTCAATCCCCAGTACCAAAAAAGAAAAAAAAAGAAACTTTGCTCTTTGATTCTGGCTCCCTTTGAATCCTAAATTTTGGTACCAAAAATTGTCTCCAGTACTCACCAAATTGATCAAGATCAATAATGACTTCCCTCTATCATCTCTACCTTCCTTAGCTATCTTATTAGTTATTGTCATTTGTTATTATTACTATATGAACTGTCCTGGCCTACCAGAGCCCAGGGCAGTGAACTTAGGCAGAGCACAAAGGTGAGGCAGGGACAACCCTTTTTCTGCAGAGCAGAGACCACGGAGACTTGGTGCCCCAGTCTAGGGAAAGAGGGTGTGGAATGAAGAGCAGAAAGGAGACACACTAGGGAGAGTCCTCAGGAACTAGAGCTTCACCCCAGGCTTCAGCACACAGAGGAAAGAGCCATGCAGCGTGCTGGGCTGGACTGGGACTACCATGTCAAGAGACTCTTTTTCAGTGGCCACCATTCAGCTACCTACACTTTTTATTATTGATATGACTAACCAGGTTTTTCTCCAGAATGTTTATGAACTGTAGTCTTTCCTCTTGGTTTCTCCAGTAATTTGAATATCTGAAGTTGAGGGATCTTTACAAAGATTCCCTTGCCAAGTAGAAACCTGAGGAAAACATTAAATACAGCAACAGCTAAATAAATGGTCCTGCTGAGCATGTCTGATGAGAATTTTTCAAGTTTATTCTAACAAAGCAGTAGGCATCTGTTAAAAGAAACTGCTCCCTTTCTAACTTAGCCAAGAATTTTTACTAATGATTCATCATTGCAAACACATTGTTGTGACTTTGAACTATATTCCTTCATTTTTTATCAGAGTGTTCTGTGATTGTTTCTCTTGCAACATCTTCACAAATGCTGGGTAAAAAAGCCAAAACAATTCTTTCCAGACCTGCTTCTTTATCTTGACTGGCTGGCCAGTACACTTCACACTAAATGAGCAGGCTGTCTGAAGTTCACACTGTCACTCTTACCCATATTTATATGGGGGCCCATCTCCTCTCCTCCAAGTCTGGGCTCAAATATCTCATCAGCAAAGCTGTCTCTGACCACCTGTTTAAGTTTATAGACTTCTCTCATTGCTCCTGGTGCTCCCTAGGCCTCTCCAGCCTTTCTCTTTCTTCACAGGACTTGCCACCATCTAACATTCTGTATATTTACTTATTTTCTTATTATGTACCTCTCCTATTGTAATGTGAGCTCCTTGAAGGCAGTGGTTTTCATCCGTTAGTTTTACTATTGCATCCCCAGCAACTAAGTGGATACCTGGTATATAGTTGGCACTCAGCAAGAACTTGCTTAGGAACCTGGGACTGAGTTCTGGGTTTGGTCCTTTGTGGAATTTTATACTGGTTATACCCTTCCTAAATTGGAGATCTTTGGATATGGCACCAAAGCACAAACCTTGTTATCTCTCATTTTAATCAGTTATGGTGGTAGACAAGACAATGCTCAAACCTTGTTTGAATCAGTTTACCTTTTATCCCCACCAATTCTTTATCTGAAGCTACTGGGATTAGCTAGAGAGGAGAGAGAGAAAGCCAGAGAATGACATATAAAAGAAACATAAAGAAAACAAGCTAATGTTCTTACAAACACAGACTCAAAAATCCTTGACAAAATATTAATAAATTGAATCCAATCAAGAATAATATATCATGACTGCAATAGGTTTGACCCTGTTGAATTAAGAGTTCACTGTGGCAGCTGGGCACAGTGGCACATGCCTATAATTTTAGTAGCTCAGGAGCTGAGGTAGGAGGATTGCAAGTTCAAAGCCAGCCTCAGCAACTTAGCGAGATCCTAAGCAACTTATTAAGACCCTGTCTCAAAATTTAAAAAAAATAAAAGGGACTGGGGATGTGACTCTGTGGTTAAGCATCCCTGGATTTAGTCCCCAGTAATCCCCCCAACCCCCAAAAATAAAAGCATTCACTATTGCTAATGATGGTCAAATCACAGTTCTGTCACCTTCACAACAGGATGGTAACAGACTCAACAACTGTGCTATATAAAGGATGTGGTAATCCCACAAGGTGAACTTGCAACACTGGCTGCCAGAAAGTATACTGGCTAAAAGAGAGAAAATAAGGTTTTTGTTTTCATGCTCCTTCTAATGATATCTTAAGGGTTTATTCCATCAAATTACTTTGTAGGCTCTTTTTGATACTTCAGCAACTGGCTCCCTCTTGATAGAGACCTTACATAAGAATTAGAACCTTAGCTCTGAATTATACTGTGTTAAAAAGTGATACCATATTAGTAATCCATGTTTCAATTGGTTTTTGTCTCAGATCTATTCTTTCTCTGGTATTTTCCTTTTCTGCTGCCTCATTTGCAATCTCTTTACCTGCAACGTGCTTTTCTTTATTTTGGTTATTTTTTCTATTTTGTCATCTCATTCACTGCTAGAAGCACTAAGTTTTTATAAGCCAAGTGGGCTATAAAACCCAGGAGGTCAAGTACTGCCTTTTCACTCATTAGACATCTTAATTATCATGTATGTCGAGCACCTGGCATAGTGGTTATGTTGTTTAGCAAATAACTTTTTTCTTTTGGTACCAGAGATTGAACTCAGGGAAACTCAACCACTGAGCCTCATCCCTAGCCCTATTTTGAATTTTACTTGGAGACAGGGTCTCACTGAGTTACTTAGTACCTTGCTGTTGCTGAGGCTGGCTTTGAACTATGATCCTCCTGTCTCAGCCTCCTGAGCTGCTGGGATTACAGGTGTAATTACTTTTGAATGTACAGATGGGCAAACAAATGACCTTTATTAAATTAATTAGTCATAGTCCCTTGAGATTTGCTCGCTCCTTCCTTCCTTCCTTCCTTCCTTCCTTCCTTCCTTCCTTCCTTCC